CTGAGACCAAGCATGAGAGAGTTGATGGGTCTCACCTTGACATCAGCCTCCAAGTTCTGAGGTGGGAAGCATAACTCACCATCCAGTTCCCTTTCCTTACGGCTCTTCTGTCCTGGTGCCTCAAGTGCGTAAGGGTGTTGCGTGCAAGGTTTCTTTGCCTGAGCTCCAGTTCCCGCTCAGGTTTGTGGCTAGAGACCATGGGGGAGATGTTTTGGAGCGGATTTCCACAGGCTAGCTGGCTGGAGAGCCAGTTGGTTCTCAGGGCTCGGCTCCTCCCTGACTGGGTTGTAAGCCCCCAAATAATGAATATGGGTTTTCAAACCGTGGGTTTGCTGTTCCCTGCCAAGCAGATGTGATGGTTTGGTTTGCCTGTGGCTGAGCATCTCATGAGAAGCTTTTGTTTATTAGCATATGCTGAGCTGAAAAATGCGTGAAGCTCCCTGGCATCTGAGATGCTCTTGTAAGTTGGGTGTCGATGGCAGGCGTGTGGTGTAGATGTGTGCATGGTTAATTGGAACAAGCTTATCAGATGGGTATTCACAGGTGTAGCAGAAGAGGACACCCCCAAAGGCATTGTCATTTCCACAGGCTAGCTGGCTGGAGAGCCAGTTGGTTCTCGGGGCTCGGCTCCTCCCTGACTGGGTTGTAAGCCCCCAAATAATGAATATGGGTTTTCAAACCGTGGGTTTGCTGTTCCCTGCCAAGCAGATGTGATGGTTTGGTTTGCCTGTGGCTGAGCATCTCATGAGAAGCTTTTGTTTATAGCATATGCTGAGCTGAAAAATGCGTGAAGCTCCCTGGCATCTGAGATGCTCTTGTAAGTTGGGTGTCGATGGCAGGCGTGTGGTGTAGATGTGTGCATGGTTAATTGGAACAAGCTTATCAGATGGGTATTCACAGGTGTAGCAGAAGAGGACACCCCCAAAGGCATTGTCGGAGCTGCAGTAACACGGTGATTTGCCTGTTTCTCTTGCATTGATGTGATTGGGGTCCTCCCTGGGCAAGCAGAATAGAAATTAAATTCTTGCTTAGTAAGTCAGCATGGAAACTTTTTTCTTTTCTCCTTAAACAAAGAGATGATTAGCCTGTCTGCAGTGTCGAAATTAATTTATCTGAAGCGTGTGGAACATGAACAAATGCTACTCTAAGGCATACTTTCTGGCACTGCTGCAGTCATTTAGTGCGGAGTGAGATGTTTCAGAAATGGATGGGCTGCGGTGATTTGTAAGGCCGTCACTTTAATGAGGCGTTTTGATGGCGTTGTAAACCACCAGAGCAGAGACCAAGCGGACCAGTTGTGATACTGAGAAAGTTCAAGGCAGAAAGCGTAGTCTCCGCTCCAGCCTAGAGCTGAAGAAATCCCAAAGACCCAAGCGCTTGAACAGGCATCTCCTCCCTCAGTGTGGAACTGGTTAAGGTGGTAAACCCCCACTTTTTACTGGGTTAGTGGACTGTTCCTATCGTGCTGCTTACGGGATGGGATGCTGCTGTTTTGAGAAGCTTCACTGCACAGCACCCTGAGCCTGCGCGGTGCAGGATCTCCCTGTGTGAGAGCAGGAGGAGCTCGGCAGCTGAGAAACGAGCAGACTTTAGCTAACATCAGGCTCCGAACTCTATCCTCCCTTCAGGTCCTGGTAAAATCCTCCTCCTCTGCCTGGCAAGGCTCTAACAGTTGAGGAGAGGAAATGCTGGGCAGCCCCATTTCCAAGACCCATCAGTTGAATTCCAGGTTCCCCTGGGCTCTCGGAAGCCACCACCCCAGTGACAGTTATTGCTGTACTGGCGGTCACACCAACGGTTCCCTGGCCGCATCCTGTCCTTCCAGGCTGGCCACAGCCACCAAATAACCCATGGTAATTCGGGAAGCAAGACTGGGCACTACACAAAGTGAATCTTCCCAGAGAAGCATGAATTGCCTGTCCTAAGGTAGTGTCTGGCCACAGGACAGGGAAGAGGCAGTTTGGTTGGCAGGAGGGCCAACAGCAGGGATGCAGTAGCTATGTGATAATTAGCAGGATTTAACAATATACCTGGTCTAAGAGCGAGTCTGGGGAGGTAGAAGGGTTTTTAATGGGTTCTAAAATGGCTGTGCAACTTGCAGTGATGGTAGAGACTTGTAGCTTAGCTGTAAGTACCGGATTAAAGGGGGAGGCCTGTGGTGGAGGCTGAAGCTTGGATGTTCTTGGTGATCTTCAGCCTAGCACCTTGCTCTGATCCAGCTTGGTTTCCTGAGTCGAGTCAGGAATTTCTACCCCAGCCCTGGGCATATTTCTTTATTGCTTGTCTGGGTTGTCTTAGCTGTTGTGTCCTGGTACAGCTGGTTCCTCTGCCCAGGCTGAGGGCATTTGTGCTCTGAACCTAAAGCTAGAGCTGTCTGTGCCCTGAGCCTGGAGCAGTGGAGGAATTGCAATCCTTTCTTATGTTTCTGGGGTGGATTTCTGGCTGTCTGAGCTGGGGGAGGTGGCATCTCCCTCCACCAGACGCGGCGGTGTGCTTGGAAGGGTGCTGCGGTCACTGTTTTGTCCTGCCTCTACAGGGAGACATGGCCGATTTTGTAGTTCTGCTCCTTTCTTCCTGACGTGGGAGGCTCATCCCTGCAGGCCCTGGGGAATTGGAGCTGTGGGGCTGTGAAAGCGCCTTACTGGAGGGTGGGGGAAGCCCTGAGGCTGGGGTGGGGGTGTGGAGGTTGGAAACGCTCTGGAAATAAGCATTGCGGGGATGATGAACAGGATTAATTGCAAGTGAAGTGAAATTACAGGTAGAAAATTGGAATGAATAATCCAGTTATTTTCAAGACCCAATAATAAAACATTGAAATCCAGATTAATGTTGTATCATCCCCATTAGACTTCTCTTGAGAAATAGTTATTTTTCAGCATTAAACCTTAGCTCTTGCTGCAGCATGTTCTCGTGTCCGTCAGTGCTCTTGTTTCCAAACGCTGTAAAGGACCCAGTGCTACGAACGTGTACAATACTGGAGCTGTTGGGGGAGTAAAGGGATCAAGCTATTGCCTTGCTTGCAGGATATGGGTAACACTTGAGGGGAGGGGAATGCTCATCTTTGTATAGATGGTGTCTTGCAAGACCACACAAAAAACGGCGATGTGGAACAGAAGGACGAAGGAAGGAATGTGATCTGTGATTTTGCTTAATGTCAGGATGAAAAAAATTTAGGGTAGAGCTGACTTTGAGAGCCCTGGTCTTCCAAGTCCCAGAAAATACCTGAGGCTGGGGTGGGGGTGTGGAGGTTGGAAACGCTCTGGAAATAAGCATTGCGGGGATGATGAACAGGATTAATTGCAAGTGAAGTGAAATTACAGGTAGAAAATTGGAATGAATAATCCAGTTATTTTCAAGACCCAATAATAAAACATTGAAATCCAGATTAATGTTGTATCATCCCCATTAGACTTCTCTTGAGAAATAGTTATTTTTCAGCATTAAACCTTAGCTCTTGCTGCAGCATGTTCTCGTGTCCGTCAGTGCTCTTGTTGTTTCCAAACGCTGTAAAGGACCCAGTGCTACGAACGTGTACAATACTGGAGCTGTTGGGGGAGTAAAGGGATCAAGCTATTGCCTTGCTTGCAGGATATGGGTAACACTTGAGGGGAGGGGAATGCTCATCTTTGTATAGATGGTGTCTTGCAAGACCACACAAAAAACGGCGATGTGGAACAGAAGGACGAAGGAAGGAATGTGATCTGTGATTTTGCTTAATGTCAGGATGAAAAAAATTTAGGGTAGAGCTGACTTTGAGAGCCCTGGTCTTCCAAGTCCCAGAAAATAACAAGTGGGGAAATCAATCTGTTCCTTGGTCTGGTTAGCCAAAAAGGGAGGGGGAATTATTTCTAGTCCAAAGTAGTGCTTGGCAAATGCTGTACGTGTTAATCTTTGATTTTTGTCGGTGCTTGAGACCCACTTCCTGGGGTTGTCTTCTCTTCTTGCCCTTTCTTGCACGCCCGCTTTGTGTGACACGGAGGAAGAGAGGTGGTCAGCAGGCTGGTGGCTGGAAGAAGAATGGCCTGTGGACCTGTTAACCCATGCTACTCTTAGGATAAGGATGCTGGAGAAGAACTGCCATTAGGATAAAGTCTTAAGTGGCCCTGCTTTCACATACGTTGCATTTACATTTGATCTAATTGCTCATGTTCCTTTAATGGTTTCATGCTTTCATTTCTGCTGTTACAGCCTCTTAATGCCTGTAGGGAGCCTTGAGTTTGGGTGTTAATAAGCGAAAATTAGGGCCCTCATTCTCCATGGAGAAATGCTCTTGGGCACTGTGGTAATTTCATGCCTGGAAGGAGTCATATTTGCTGGATAATTTTTGTAACTTAAAACAACCAAATTAGCCTTGGGAAACTATAGTTCTTAATCAGAGTATTGAACTCTGATGCTCCATTAGTTAGAAACATCACCGGGCTCCTTGCACAAAGGGTGGACATTTGGTTTGCAAAGTAGGAAAGTGGTCTGATTTTGTTAGTGCTTGGGGCAGCAGCGATCCCTGGGTTTGGAGTGGTCTGTGATGCTCTGAGCACTTGGTAGGGTCAGGCACAAGGTCACATCAGGTCAGCTGCTCTTGCAGAATGAAGGGGCTAAGTGACATTTCCTTCCTTCTGTTCCCACCAAAAAACTTTGAGTAATAAAGGGCAGTTTGGATATTAATAGAGATTTGGGTGTTAATTCCAGTAAATGGGGTTCTGAAAGTAATGGAAGGGGGGGAAGGTGAGAAACACCAGCAGGCCCTGGTGTGTGCTTGTGGCTCGTGGGACTGCACCCACAGCAAAAGGCTGTTTTGGCTCAGGGAATGTTTGTTCTGGGGTTTTGCTTCTATGCATCTTAACTCTGCCACTTAAATATGGTCTAATAGTGAAACAGGGTGGGGAGGCCTTATGTTTTCCGCTTCTGAAGGGTGCCACAGCCTGGAGGCACAGGTGTGTATTCTTTGGGTCTGCCACAAATGGGATTCTGGATTTTCGAAGTCCCATTTTTTCTCCTTCCAGGTGAGTGGAGACATGGCCACTGGCAAGATCCGCCCGTCCCTGGGGTCCTCCAAAACAGCTGATGGATTCCAGAGCAAAGCGGTAGCACCTCGTAATCCGAAGGTCGTAGTCAGGGAGGCAGAGGAGTGTGCAACCGTAAGTACCTGCTGTGGGCCAGGTAGGAGCTGTGTAAAGGCTGGAAACCCCTCCTGTTGACACCACCTCCCCATCTCCTTACTGCTGTGCTTCTGTTGGAGGTGGCTGTCATGGTGCAGTGGTGGATGGACTCTGTGCTGCTTCAGGGAAAGTCCAGGATCTTGCCTGAAAGTGCCACTGGAGCAGAGTTAAACGAATGTACTGGGCATTGCACTGGAATAGCTGAAGCACAAACGTGTGCTGCTTTTTCTATCCTTTTTGCCGTGTGGGCAGGGACATCTTCTGTCCCATTGGCATGCTTGCCCGTGCTGCCCTGACCATACCTCTAGGCAGCTGGGCGTGTGGTGGACTGCTCCAACTCTGCCTGAAGGCTTGAGAGACGTGGCTGGTCCCAGATAGAATAGAATAGATTCCAAAATAGTTAATTTGTTGTATCTCATATCCTATGTGGAGCACAGATCCAGCCCTGCAAACAGCAGTGGAATCAGGGCAATTCTTCCTTCCCGTCCTCAAATGTCCCCTTTGACTGGGGCTCATTTGACTGCAGGTGACGAGTGCTCCGGCTCAGTCAAGGAGATAACTGGATACTTCTGCAGAGGGGTCTTGAGGCCAGACAGAGAGAAAACGAGTGCTAATAAAACGAGTGCTAATTAAAAAGAGAGAATGAAAACTTGGACCCATTCCTCTCCACCTCAGTCTTGGCACAATGCTGCTTTTCTGCTTTCCTCCGACTCACCCAGCAGTGACATCTCCACATGCATGTTGGCTGTGAACATTGTGCAGGGATGGAGTTAGGGGCTTTCTAATAACTCCTCCCCTCTCTCTTCAAAGGTCACTGGCTCAATCCAGCAAAACTAAAGAGGAAACAAATGCCCGAAGAGCAAAAATCCCCAAACATGTCACATCAAATCATGGAGGAGAAGCTCATAGGACAGAGCCGCTTGGTTAGAGCACGTGTATTCCGCTCTATATCATTAATTTATTGATGTTAAATATTTCAGCAGGTAATTTACGGGACTTCCAGGACTGTCCTAGTGGCTGTGATCACAAATTATTCATCAGTGGTACTTGTTCAAGAAAAGCCTTTGTGAACAAAGGCATTTCTGTAGCTCTTATGGTGTTTTGCTTTTCAGCTGACTCCCTCTGCCTTCCTGAAGGAGATGTCTCTTACCACCGAGCAGAGGCTGGCCAGCATTCCGGAGATGAGGCAGCCCCGGATTATCCAGCTTCTAGACATGAGTGAAACCTCCCATCAAAAGGTAGCCTTTTCCTGCCCTTTTTGTTGCTGTTTGATGTGGTATTTGGAGAGGGGTGTGTGCTCGTGACTGGCTCGCCTCCAGCTTATCTAAATACCTCGGTGACTAGGTCCTTGTCCTTTCAAACTGCTGGTGGTGGTGGAGGTCCTTCTGCTGGGGGAAAGGTAAAACATTTTTCCCCGGCAAGATGTTGAAGTCTTGATCTGTGCCAAGCCGATATCAATAACCTCTGTTGGTGAGTTTTGCTGGAGTTTAGCTACCGTCGCTGAAGCGTGGTACAGGGGGAAGGCTGGGGCAGGACACAAGGGCACGAGCTTGCCATTTTCCATCCTCCGGCTGAAATAGCCACCTCTTGCTTTGGTGTAGTCACTGTCAAATGCTTGGGGTCGTAGGACTCCCTCAACAGTGGCAACATCGGCCTTTGAAGGCTGAGGGCCTATGGTTATTACTCAAGATTTAACAAAACCAGTTGCATTAATGCTTTGGATTGGAACAACATGTGGGATCCTTGTAGGGTGTTAGATTTTGCAGGCTGCCAGATATAGAGGGGAATCACCCTGGGCAGGAGGGAGTGGATGAGCTTTATCTGGATCGATGTTTACTTAGATGTATGTTTAAAGCTGCTTTTCTTACAGGACTGCTCGGTATAACACAGAGTCCAAATGTGTAGATTACCGAGGTAGGCTGTTGAGCAGAAAACTGCCAGCAAGAGACCTGTAACAAATTGGTTAAGGACTGCCCTAGAGAGCACAGGAGGTTGCACAGACAAGCGCACAAATAACTGGCAGTGTGCTGCAGCTACTAGCTTCAGTGTGACCGTGACTTGGGTGGAGGAGCAGGAGACCTGCCTGTGTCTTCTGAGTAGGAACAGCGCAGCTGGAATTGGGGAGACAAGGCAGGGAGGAATTATCTCAAAGTGATGCCTCTGCTCTGTAAGCACTTGCTGTTTGCATATGTTTTCAGGCATGCTTCTGCAGTGGTATTAAATAAAACAGCAATAGTAGAATACGATAAAGCATCCATTTAAAGCTGATGGAAAAAGGAGATACCAAGTCCAGTCTTACTCAAGTTGCCCAGTAATGCTGAGAAATGCTTGCTGGGGAGGGGGAACGGCCTCAAGTTGTGCCAGGGCAGGTTTAGGTTGGACATTGGGAAAAATTCCTTCCCCACAAGGGCTGTCAAGCACTGGAAGGGGCTGCCCAGGGAAGGGGTCGAGTCCCCATCCCTGGGGGGATTTAAAAGCCGGGCAGAGGAGGTGCTTAGGGCCAGGGTTTAGTGGTGGGATGGCAGGGTTAGGGTAGTGGTTGGGCTTGGTGATTTTAAAGGGCTTTTCCAACCTAAACGATTCTATGATTCTATACTGTGTTACTTTCTTTTTGGCCTTACCTCTTTAGGTACTGTTCTCTTCTTACTGGTTTCTAGGCTCTATATCAAAAAAGGTATTTGGGGATGTGAGAGACTGTCTCTCCATCTCAGATTAAATAAAGATCATCCCCAAATTGTTTCCCATGGAGTCTCATGTAAATTTGCTTGCTCTGTGAGTGCTCACAGCTCTTTTGCTAAGTGCTCTGGAGCTGGGTGACCACATTAGCACAGGGCTCTGCTTGAAGGTAAGCGCTGCCCTGCATTTTGGAGAAAGAAATATGGAGAAACAACTACCAAAATTGCTTCTTGCTTCAGTCTGCTCCATGTGGTCCAGAGGCTTTTGGTCAGCTTGGACCACAGGTGGGTGAGCTACGTTTCCCTAGTGTGAGCTGGGCAGATGTGCTCACCAAGAGACTGTACTTCACTGGAAGTCAGTGTGGGATTCTCATTCACAAATCTTTTAGCAGTTGAACCTCTCATTGCTCTCTCTTGCATCTCCAGTTCTCAGCAATTGACCTGGAGCAGAGCTTGTTTCAGCCTTTCCCATCAGAGGTGGTGTTTCAGAACTACGTCCCCTGCGAGGTCTACGAAGTGCCACTGGTTCTGAGGAACAATGACAAGGTAAGTGCTGGGATGCAGAGGTTTAACGCTGTGCTGGATGCGGAGAGTGGTGTAGTTCATGTTATAGTGCACATCCAGAATAAAATGTCTCACCACCTTTATTTTGCAAGATGGTGGAAGTACTCCCGTGTTGGGGATTATCCTGCTGATTTTGGCCATGCGTTGGTGGTATCTAACCCAAAGGAGCTTTTCTAGTCAGCATCCTTGCCCTGGATTGATGGGAATGTTGAGGGCTGTACAGTTCTTATCTGCTCTCATGCTTTATCTCGAGTGTGCACCATGTCCTGGTGGCTCCTGGGTTAACCTTGGTTTCTGGCAGGGCATCTCTGCCTCTGGCAGCCTGTTGAACTGCCTCCGTGCAGCTCACTGCACAAAGCACAGCGCTTGAGTCTTCTCCACTTTATGCTGGAATAAATGATAATTAGTGGCATTAGCACTCCAGGAAAGGTGTTTTGAAACAGCAGCAGAGACAGACTGATGTAGCAGAAGCAGTGGGAGGCCTTTAGGTGTTACTTTAGGGTCCTGCTAAGCTAAATTTGGTTCAGCTCGGATTTTTCTAAGACAACGTGGCTCTCTGCTTTCCCTTTGGAGAACCACATCCAGAGTAACTATCTCCTGAAGGTCTCCGCCTTTACTTTAAAAAATTGTGATCGTTTTGAGATTTCCCAAGGAAGCTGAGAAGGGAAAAGTTGAAAAATGTCAGCAATTTTGTACCCCTGTAAAGAGGAAAATTGAGACCTTTTGAATTTCAGCAGGGGAAACGTTTGCTCGAATGAGGCATACGCCAAGAGCAAGCTGGTGGGAAAAGACAGGAGGGAGGAAAGGAGCTGAGTTAAAGTGCTCTGGGAGAGAACATTGAACACACAAGGGTTTCTTCTTGGCACGTAGCAGTAAGTGTACTGGAAGCAGAGAAAGGTCAGAAAAGGAAAGGTGTAATTACAGGTACAGCTCTGTAATGAAGAGCAAGATGTATATGTGAGGAGGGCAGGATGGGGAAGATGGACGTGTACACGAGAGCAGGTGAATTAACCCCCTCTCCAAATCTACCTGTCGGGGAAAACAAACAAGTGAACCAAAAAAAAGGTATTGGGGCATATTGCAGGTGGAGGAACAGTGAGAGAAGTCAAAGTCTATGCTGAGATAACAGGGTGTGACAGGGATGGTTGAAAATGGATGACGCTTTGGTAAGGCAGGGTGCAGGTGTGGTCCCTCAGTTATTCCTGGAGAGTACTGTGCCATTCCTGGTCTGGATTTAGCTTGGGAATGTTGGAAAGATGCGACATGGATGCCCATGACCAAGGGGTACCATTCATGTGGTCCACACTGATTTTTTGGACAGTCTTTGCTATAAGAATCCTCTTTCCTGATTAAAATGTGCCTCAGTTTCTCTCTTCCTACTGCTCTGCTTTGTTCCCAGTAAGCCTTGTGGCTTCAGCTGCCCCATTATCCATGTGGCACTTCAAAATGTTTGTCTTTGCCAAGTACCAGCCAACAGGCAAACAGTTAATTTGCTCTATTCATGCCTCCTCAAGTGGAAAAGAACATCTGCATCAACATTTCTGCCATTCCCAGTAAAAAATAATAAACTTGTGCAGCTGCACCTTGGGATCTGTGTGCCTGCAAGGGGGAGGCAATGTGGGAACTGTTAATTTATTTTTTTTTTTCCCCAGAATGAATTAGTTTTGAAGCTAGTAAGACATCAACCATTGGACAGCACTGGTGTAAAAGTAAGATCAACTCTAACGGAAATCCTTGGCAGGAAAATCCTTGGCATATTTAAATAGGCAAAGATAGAGATGATAATCCTGAGAGGTGGTTATATTCTAAATTTGTTGGCTTTTGGTAATGTCCTGGAGAAAAGCAACGTAGCGCGCTGTCTCAAAGCTTTCTCACCAGTTTCCCAGCTGCTTCTGAATAGTACTCACTTAACTGCACAGTAGCTTGAGGTCATCCGCTCCATGAAAGTCCAGCTGACAGCAAAGTATATTCCAAACAGAGGCTCCGTAATTATTCAAATACAGAAGTGCTTCGCTGTATACTTACTGCTCTTACCTGTGTGTCGTAAAAGGGCTTTTCTGTCTTCAGGCTGCTCCTTACCACCCTCAGAGATGTTCTGGGTGGCTTTTGCTGAAGGTCTCAGCCATGTGTGCTCATCTCCCAAGGGACTTGGTGACCAGTGTGTTTCTCTGCAGTGTGAAATTGGCTCCTGGAACTTGTTGCCCCGGGGCATTGCTGGGAGCAGAGGACATTTGGAGAGTTCAGGACTGCCTTGGCCATGGGCTATCAGGCTCGGGTGGGTGGACTTGATGATCTTAAAGGTCTTGTCCAACCTAAATGACTCCATGGTGCAGAATGAATCTCCGTTTTTCCCAAGCCTTGTCTGGGTTCCTTGTTTATCAGTAAAGCTGCCTGTCAGTCAAAATCACCTGGTTTTCACTTTCAGAGATGAGGTTCGGTGTTCAGGCTTGCTATCTGTGTGCTAGAAAATGCCTGTTTGCTGTCTCTGGGGTACCCCAGAGGGCAGAACCTTGCAGTGAGGTGCCTGCGGGGACTCCCGGGTGTGGGGAGGAATACCCAGAAATCTGCCTCACCTGTGCTGGCATCTGCCCGGCTGCAATCACCAGGCAGCAAGAGCCTCCGGAGAGCTGAGGTTGGCTTTTAATAATGAAATCACACTGTGAGTCAGTGCCGGTCGTGTATCTCAAGGCAAAAAAATGCCTTTGAAGCCCATAATTGATAGGCGCAGCCTGGGGGGTCGTCTGGCTTTCTATCACTTTGGCAAGTTGATTGCTCATCTTCTGCATCAGTCTCCCCTTGTGGAGTGTCGGGCTTCTCCCTTGCTTCTTTACAGCCCCCTTTAAATTCTCTTAGCCATCTCCTCCTCATGTCTGGGGTTGTCTCTTTTGTCTTCCTGTGTTCCTCCTTTTGCCCTTCAGGTTTGCTTTTATTCCCAGTAAGGCTACAATGTCTGTGGTCTCCTCCTCTTGATGGTCTGCCCTTGTGACTCTCTAGCACAGCAGCTTGACCACCCCACTGGAACAGAGTGTTAGAAGCGACTTTCTTCCTTCCCCCAGTGTAACACATACTGTTTTGCCTTCAGATAATACATTCAAAATTGACTTTTTTTGTCAAGCACTGGAAGGGGCTGCCCAGGAAAGGGGTCGAGTCCCCATCCCTGGGGGGATTTAAAAGCCAGGCAGAGGAGGTGCTTAGGGCCAGGGTTTAGTGGTGGGCTGGCAGGGTTAGGGTAATGGTTGGGCTTGGTGATTTTAAAGGGCTTTTCCAACCTAAACAATGCTACGATTCTCTCTCTAGAGGCATGACTGCATCCATGTGTGCAGGCAGAAGCAAGCAGGTTCTTTAGACTTGTTGAATATGAGTATGACTTGTTTCAGGTATTATATCTTCATACTGCTGGTATCTTACCTGCTTGGCGATTCCTTCACAGTAGGGCATTGCCCTACCTCTTGCCTAGAGCTATTTTGCCCAGGCAGAATGGATTCAACTCCACCCTTGCGTATTACGTGCATGTACCTCCAGAGCTAAAAGTGCTTTGGAAAGGTGGCTAAGGAAGGATGTCCCCAGGGCATGGCCAAGCCTCTTCTTATGTTTCCACAAGTGGCAAATTCATAGTTTCACGTCTTTCCTTGCAGGTTCCTCGGCTGGTGAAGGTCGTCTTGGAGAGCTCACCTTATTTCAAGTTGATCAGCCCCAATGCCTTGTGCCGTAAGGTAGCACCTGGCATGCCTTCAACTTTCCGCATCCTTTTCACCCCTGAGGAGAACAAGGTAAGACTGGAGGTCCCAAGAGGTTGGTGCCTTCGGTTGGAAGGTGAACATGTGGGGCTGGGTTCAGAACAGGGCATCTGGTGTGGATTTTGAGGACCTGCCC